GGGGGGCTGAGGGCAGAGGATGGGCGTGGAGGGGACAGAGGGAGGCGGGGGTGGGGGGCTGGCCAGGCAGAGGATGGGCGGGACTCTGGAGACTTAGTTTTGGGGTGCAGAGAGTCGCCGACCTTCCCAGAGGAGCCCTCGCACGCGCTGCTGGACTGAGCTGTCGGGGGCATCCCCGTCCCGGGCCCGGCGCGCGCTGCGGGCGCCCCCTGGCGGCCGGGCGGAGAGGGCTTCGCAGAGGCCGAGGTCGCACGCGCGGGTCGGTGGCGCCCGGCTGCGCAGCCCTCCCGGCCGCAGGGGGGCTCCCTGAGAGCGGCCGTAGACCCTCCGGCAGTTGCTAGGCGGCCGTTTGGTGCGAGCAGGGTGAGGCGCTGATTGGCGGAGTCCGGACGAGGCGGGTGTCGCGTCTCGCCGCGATTGGGCCACAGGGGGCGGACCCCGCTGAACTGTCCGCGCCGATTGGACTCCGCCGCACCAGAAGTGCCGCCGCGGCGGACAGAGCGGACGGCACTCAAAAGCCGGGGCGCCGCTCATTGGCCGCGGCCGGCAGCGTGTCGCGGCCGCGAGGGGATTGGCCCGGGACCCGGCGGCGGCGGCGCGCGATCCGAGGGAGGTCGGGGCCGGCTGCATGGGGCGGCGGCGGCGCCGGGTGGACCGGGCGGACGCGGCCGGGGCCCTGCCCGCGGCCATTGCCGCGCTGAGTCGGACGCTGCCCGGCGGGCCCAGCCCCGAGACCTTCCGTCGCGCCAAGTTCGACCGTCCGGAGGCGGTGAGGCCCGCGGGCAGGCAGCCGGGCCCGGTGGGGCCCCGGCGGACGCGGGGAGGCAGCCGGCTCCGCTGACCGCCGCTTTTTGATCCGCAGGCCCCCGCGCTCTGGCGGCTGCTCTTCTGCGTGCTCTCGCCGGTGCCTGCCGACGGCGCCGCGGCCTCGCCCGCCCCGGGTAAGCCCCGCCCCGCCCCGCACACCCATGCAATCCTCGCCCCCTGTCAGCCCCGACCGCCCGGGTAAGACCCGCTCCCATAGATTCTGCTTTACGGCCAATTCCCACCCCTTGTAGGCTCTGGCCCCGCCCACCTCGTAAGCTCCGCCCTCAGCCGTGGTTTCCTCCTCCTGGTTAAGTTCCAACCCCCTGATTGTCCCTTCTAAGCTGGGCCTCTGCTTGGGGGTGGTGGGCTGGTCCCTTAGGGGTCTGGGTGCTGTCACTTCCAATGGGTGGCCCCCTGAGCTGGCCTTCTCCTACCCCCAGTGGCCCAAGCCCGCCTGGTGAAGTCGGAGCTGCGCTCCCAGGGCTACCCCAGGGGGTCGCTGGCTCGGCTCCCTGAGGACGGCTCCCAGGGCAGCCGCGAGCTGCTGCTGGCCCTGTCCTGGCTCCTGGCCCGTGGGCCCCTGCTCGAGCAGCTGCTGGCCCAGACCCGCGTGCGGCTGGGCGACGAGATGCCGGTGTGCGAGGTGGGTGTGAGCTGAGGGTGAGCCTGGCCCAGCCTTGGCTGGGACCCTGGGTGCTGCCTGCTGGACTGGGAGGACAGGCCTGGGCAAGCCCTCAGGACAGCCCTGTGGGTTAGTATTGTCATCCTGGCTGGAGGCTGGGCCTCCGTTGGCCTCCTTGTCCTGGCCCCTGCTCCGGTCTCCCTCCCCCCTCCCTCCTTCAGGGCAGGTGGGGTGTGTGCCCCCAGGGTCTAGCCCTGACTGTTGCTCTGGCACTCCTGGGACCCATGGCTCTCACTCCTAGACACCTCTTTTCTCCTTCCCACTCTGGAGTCTCTGCTGGGGTGTGGGAGCAGGACCTGACTTTTGACCCCTCTCCAGTGTGAGGCCCTGGCCAGCCCTGGCCCACCTGCACCCCATGTGGAAGCAGATGGCTGTGTGGACGTTCGCCACCTGCAGTGGCTGATGGGAAAGCTGCGGTTCCGGTGGCGAAACCTGATCGCCAGTCAGCAGGAGCAGTGCGCCCTCCTGGGCAAGGTAGTGCCGCCTGTGCATTGCCCACCCAGGGGCAGTTGTCCATCCAGGCTCCAGGCCATCGGGCTGCCTCTCCCTGTCTGTGGCCTTCCATTGAGCCCCTACGTGGGCTGAGGCCTGGCCTGTGGCTGGATGTGGGTCTTTCTAGGCCTGGCTGGGGGCTGACCGGTTGGGCACTGCCCTGGGGTAGCTTGGAGCCTGATCCCGGGGCTCCAGGTGGCCCAAGAGGGGGCCTAGGGCAGGTGGAGGTGGGCATCACTGGTGCAGGGAGCTAGAAGAGCAAGGAGCCTGTGGGATTGGCCTTCCTGTCCCCAGAAGTCCCCAGAGGCCTCAGGCTCTGTGTCACTGAGCAATGAAATGGGCTTCAGGCCCTGGGGAAGTCACTGCCACCTGGGTACCCCTCCTCCCACCACACCGTAGGTGTGGGCTGGTGTGGGCGGTGGTCAGCTCCTGTAGGGTTCCTGAAGGCCAGTGGGGCTCAGGCAGGGCAAAGGTGTCCCTGAGGGCCTAGTGCAAGGTCTGGGCTGAGAAGCGTCTGGGCAGGTGGCTGGGGGCTTCCACCAGTGCAGGGCTCCTTGGTGTGGGGACCCCCCACCTTGCACCTCTGCCCCAGGCAGAGGGTCTTTTGCTCAGCTGGCCTTTCCTGGGACCCCTCACTCCCTCTTGCCTGGCCTTGGCTCCAGCTGCTCCTTCTGCTTGGGACACGGTCCCCTGTCAACTTTCTGCTGCCTTCGGGCCTCACCTCACTGGGGAGCCCTCCCTGTCCCCCAGACCCAGAGAGTCGCTCCGTGTTGCCGTCACTGGCCTGTCCAGAGGTTATTTCTCCCACCGTACAGGCCTGGCACTTGAGCAGAGAAGGGAAGCAGGGGTGCCCACTTTGTCCCCACCGTTCCCCCTGGAGCTGGGTTGGGTGGTGAGGCCACAGGCAGGGCTGCCCGGTGGCCCTCCTTCTCCAGGGGCTTCCTGTGGGCTCTGGGCTCTGTGCTGCCCTGAACCGCCTTGCCAAGGCGTGGCCCATTTCCTTGTCTGTGAGGTAGGCTCCGAAGGCCTCTGCCCAGCTGGGGAGGCGCCCGTCCCCGCTCAGCCTGGGGCCTGCGCTGCTCATTTCAGATCCACTCCTACACCCGTGGCTGCCACAGCGACCACAGCCTCGGTCACCTGTCTGTCGCCGAAGCGGAGCTGCTCAGGGACCCGGAGGGTGGCCGGCAGGTGAGGGCTGGCGGGGCGAGGTGGGGGAGGGCCTGCAGTCCATCTTTGAGTCTTGAGCTGGGGGTGTTTGCTGAGGTCTCCGTCCTGCCGGCATGGGGGACAGGCGCACCCTCAGAGCCCCTCCCACCCTCGGACAGCGCACTGCTGCTGGGATCCAGAGCGGCCGCTGTGTGCGCACACGGCCGGTTGTTTTCAGGGCCCAAGGGGCACTGGTGTCTGGACCGGGCTGGCAGCCAGCTGAGGGTGGCCGCTGGGATTCAGGAAGACAGCTTGAGGGTCTGAGCTGATGGTGTTGACCCTCGAGCCCGTGCAGGTGTGACCTGGTGATGGAAGGGGGTCTGGGGAGTGGGGGAGCTGGCCCAGCATGCCCCACACTCTGCTGACCTTCCTTCCAGGGGTACCCCATCTGTCATCATTGTTTCCTTCCCTTGGGCTGGCATGGCCAGGGTCCTGGGACAGGCCCAGGGCTGGCTGTCATCGAGGGCTGGGCTCAGGCCTGTCCAGAGTGTGAGGCTGTCACTGCCCGGCCCAGGGGTACTTGGCCGGGCAGGAGGGCTGAGGCTCAGGGCTGCTGTGGCCCCTTCTTTCAGGCCCAGCAGATCCCAGCTGCAGAGCTGCGTGCTCCTGGGGGTCTGCATCCCTCTTGTGGGGTCAGGGTGGCCACCTGGGCACACCTGCCTGGCCCTTGGTGCCTGCCGGGCCTGTGGCCCTGGGGAATGCCTGGCTGGCCCCCCCCGGGCAGGGCTGCGCTGGGCCCTGGAAGTGCTGAGGCAGCATCTGAGTGTCCTGAGGTGCCCCTGGCTCGGTCTCCTTTTAGGGGTGACTCAGCAAGGCCCAGGCTTCCTGCCCTTGGTGCCTCTGGGTTGGAGCAGAGCAGAGGCTGCACCAGCTCCAGCCTGGTGCTGCCTGGGACCCTGGCCTCTGTGGGGGGGCCAGGGAGTGTCCCCCCGCTCCCGGAGGCTACGCATGTTGGTGCCTCAGGACTGCGCGGCCAGGTGGACAGGGGCCATGGTCGGCTTCCTTCCGTGGTTTCTGGAGGGGGAGCTGGCAGGAGCCTGGACTGGCCTACCTGAAGGGCCTGTACTCTGGGGATGGGTCCCAGAGGCTTCTGGAATGATCTGTGGTTGCCGTGTGAGCGGCCAGGCGTGCTGCCGAGTGGCTGGGCAGCGTCCTTGGTTACTGGCTGGGCTGCAGCCTTCTCCTCATGTCCCTGAGCCTCCTCCCTGCCCCCGCCCTAGGGAGCCTCCAGAATTGCAGGGCTGGGCCACAGGGGGAGGTGGTGGTGGTGAAGGGGGCTTGTTGCCTTCCCTTCTGTGGTGCCTGCCCCCTGCCCCATGGCCTGGCGGGTGTGGGGCACCCTGTGGGACCGTCTTTGGGAACTGCATTAACTGCCCTTTTCACTGGCCCGCGGGTGGGGGTGTGTTTGGGGTATGTTTTGTGCACGTGCGAGGCCCCCTCCGCATGGTGTCTCACAGCCCTGCCGGGCTCTGTGCCCCCTAGGCTGCAGGGTGGTTCTCACTGCAGGCCTGCCTGCTCTGCCCCCTGCCATGGCTGGGCCCTTGGCCTGGTGTTCAAGGCCGTGCCCCGTCTGGCCCCAGGTTCCAGCTGTAGCAAGCAGGGTTTTGGCTGCCTGGCCGGTGCTCCAGGTTTGCTGTGGAGCCAGAGGTCGGGTGGGATTGGGGGGCAGAACAGGGGGCCCTCCCTGGCCAGGGGAGACCTTGCATCACTGGTGCGCCATAGCCCAGGGTGCGTGCACTGGCCCTCCGTGAGTGATGGCCTGGCAGAGCTCTCGTCTGGCCGACGGGTTGGCCATTTGTCCTGGCCCCAGCACCTCTGCCTTCCACAAGCAGCTGTGCCCATGCTGGGTCAGGGTGACAGCTGCTGTGTGCAGAGAGGTGCCATAGCAGGTGCCGGCTTGGGGCTTCCCAGCGGGGGCGGGGGCTGGGCGGGGCTCCGGGGAGAACTCCACCCCACCCCCACAACTTGTGGTAGGGCTGCTGGCCGGGCTGTGCTGCTAGGGGCTCCTGGCTTCTTCTGAGGCTGAGGCAGGGGCAGGCGGTGTGGAGTGCACAGTGGTCCCTGGGCACGCTGTGCTGGCAAACTGCCTGGGCGCACACACGTTCATGCGGGGTCCGCAGGCACGAGACCGTGCGTGCCTGTGGGGGCCATGGTGGGGGTCGGGCTTCGTGGGGCTTCTTGCCCTCCCGAGTGTCACATGGTTGTGTTCTCCACCTCGATGCCCTGGCCAGTCCTCCATCGCCTCCCAGCTGGCTGCCATGCAGCCACTGCCCTGCCTTTGGGGTTCCTGAGGTAACGGGAGTTTAGCCTCCTCCATCACCTCCTAGCTGGGCCCCAGTGCAGCCTCTACCTTTGGAGTTCATGAGGTTACAGGGGAGAGGTTCCCCTCCCCCAGAGCCTGGTAAGCTCTGTTGTCCCAAGCCTCCCTGTCTGCCCACAGCCTCTGGGCTACAGCCCCCAGTTATCAAGGGATGTGGGGTGGAGATCTCAAGTCAGGGGGCATGTGGACTCAGCCCCTGACCCTGTGAGGCTCGTGGTTGGGGCTGACGTGGGGGACCACGGGCTGCTCAGAGGCCTGGTAGGCTCGGCCTGGTTGTGTGTGGAGGTGGGGCTGGCGCCTGGGCGCAGGGGCCAGGGGGAGAGGTGGGCGCAGTGGGCAGGGTCCTGGCACAGGGATCTTGGCCCGTGGGGTTCTGACCAGGCCGTGGTTTTCGGTTTGCAGCTGCTGCAGAGGCTGGAGAGTGAGAATGCTCGCCTGGAGGCGGCCTTGGAGTGGCGGCGCCGGGAGCTGGTCTTCTGGCAGTGGATGGTCAGGAGGCCCAGCGACCCCACCTCCCCCTCCCTGCCCTCCCCTGCCCTGCCTTGACCACAGCAGCCCTGGGGTGGTGGTGAGGGGTCCTCCCATTTCCCTGAGAGGAAGAGGAGCCTCAGGGAGACCCCACACGCACCTGGCTGTGAGGCTGGCTTTGCACGCAGGCCTGCCTGCTCTGAGTCTGGGGCTCTTTCCAGATGTCCGTCTGTCCCACCACCACCCTGCCTAGCTCCTGGGGAGGCCCAGACTTCTCAGGGGTCCCAGCCTTCTGGAGGTCTGGCCTGTGTGCCTCCCTGGCCTCCAGACCTGCAGGGTGATGGTAGTTGTCCACCTCACTGTGCAACCTGGGGGTGGGCACTGCCCCCTGGGCCTCTGGGCCACCTGTCCCCGCTCACTGGGGAGCTGGGCCTGTGGTTGTGAGACCTGTGCTTGCCACCTGCCCACTCACTTGGATCTCTCTCTGCAGGACACAGTCCTGGGCGCCTGCCCCCCAGACGCCTCACAGCCCACGTTTCTGCCCAGGATCCCCGCACGGGGGGCCAGTGAGTTGGAGCTGGTGGCTCAGGAGCTGCAGGCCCTGCAGGAGGAGCTGCGGAAGGCAGCAGAGCCCCGGCGGGCGGCCTGGGAGGCCAGGGTGAGGGCCCGGGTGTGCTGATGTGGGTGTGTTTGACAGAGCCGCTTGTGGGATTCACGAGGTTTAATCTGATTCAGTTTGGTAGGGGTGTAGTCACGTGCCAGACGCGGAGCAGGAGGCTGTGTGGTGAGGAGCCCCCGCTGCCCCCACCCCAGCCACCCGAAGCCCGAGGCCACCCTGTTGGAGGTCTGTTCCCTCTCCCAGGGTGTTCTTGGTGTTGTCTCCGCCAGATTCCATCGACCCTGTGACCACGTGGGTCTCCCCACCCCCGCCCGTGCCCACCCGCCGCTCTCTGGAGCGGGGATGGCGAGTACCTGGGCTCGTGCTGTGAGCAGCGGGCCACATCTGTGTTCTTTTTCTGAAGCATCTAACAGAAAATTGCCAACATGGTTTTTCCCCTTAAAGTCTTCAGTTTGTTCCTGAAGAGCAAGGGGGCTTCCTAGGGGTCTTTCGGGCTGTGCACGCCGTGTGCCCTCCCTGCGGTGGTGACAGCTGAAGTGCTGGTGACGTCTGTGGGCCGTTTCTCAGGAGAAATGTGGGAGGTTCCTTGTTGGGAGGTTCCTTGTTGGGAGCCTCAAGCAGAGCAGCCGAGGGTCAGGGTCAGGGCGGGTCCCTGGGGACACCGAGGGTGCTGTCTCTTGTCACTCCCCCAGGCCACCGGACCAGCTGCCCACAGGGTCTCTGGGATCAGGCCTGCCCTAATGGCCAGAGGTGGGCTCAGCAGGTGGCACCCTCAGCCCGGCGTCCCCTTGGGTCAGCCCCATCCACACGCCCCTTCCTGGAGGGCAGTGGGAAGGTGGAAAGCCGATTCATTGGTGTGGTGGGTGGTGGGAGGCTGGGCCTGACCCTGGAGCGGCGGGTGGGGTTGGGGATGGCTGTCCCCAGCATCTGCACTCTGGGCTCTGAATGGGCCCCAAGGGACTGGGCCTGCTGGGGGCAGCCCAGCTCGTTCCCCCCACACCCCACCCCGGTGGCTGAGTTGGACCTGCAGCTGGGTGGTCCTGAGGGCTGAGGTCCTGCAGGGCGTGGGGGTTGGTGAGGCTGTCAGCCCTGTCCCTGGGGCCCCACAGCCGCTGGCTTAGGGCATAGAGGCTCGGTGAGCCTGGAAGGGCCAGGCCTGTGAGCTGGCGTGGGGTTGGCCCCCGCTTCCCTTGGAGACGGGGGATCTGGGCCATCAGCCCTTCTTGGGGAGCTGGTGGGGCTGCTGAGGGAAGGGCTGAGGGGGCCTGAAGCCAGTTTCCTGGGCGGGACATGGCTGCCCTTGGCTCACGAGCCACCATCTTCTCCTGTGCAGGTTGGAGGCTGGGGGCCAGAGTGGAAGGCCGCGCAGCGGGCCTCCGAGGAGGCCGTGAGACAGGAGCTGGCAGCTCTGCAGCGATCCTGGGAGCACGGCGGGGGCCTGGCCCAGCCCCATGGGCCCCACCGGCTGGTGAGGAGTGAGGCTGGGATGCTCGGGGGCCCGGGCCTGCCGGCCGCCAAGGTAATCACAGTGCTAAGGAGCCGGAAGGCCTGCCTGGAGGTGGCGTTGCGCCAGCTGCAGGGACAGTGTCGGCAGGAGCTGGCCAGGCTGGCAGGAGCCCTTCCCGGCTTCATCTGGATCCCGCCGCCTGGCCGCTGAGGGACACGGATACACCTTCCTTGCGTGGGGCACCTGTTATAGCTCAGCCTGGCCAGGCCTGGGAGGAGCAGGTGCCAGGGCCAGGTGGCCGCAGGGATGATGCAGACACAGAGCCCTGGTGGTGCACTCACTCTGGGCTCTGGGGCTGTCCCCACCTTGGACAGAGCTCAGCCGCTTGGCCAGCAGTGGCAGGGGCGGGCAGGGGCTATCCCCTGTGAGGAGGTCGTGACAGACCCAGTTGGTGGCCGTGGGCACTCGGGGTCTAGAGAGGAATCAGAAATCAGTTGTGGAGGTCTGCCTGCAGGGGTGAGCCTGCCAGTGTCCCTCTGCCTCCCTTTCAGGTCTCTGTCTGGGGAGGGCAGGGGCGGGGCTGGGCTCAGGCCCAGGGGAAGGGGACCCTGGGCAGTGGTGGCCGAGGCTGGGCTGGTCCGGGCTGCTCAGGTGCTGTGGGGACAGGCCTGGCTTGCAGTGCAGGGGGGGCATCGGCCCTGGGCGCCCCCTGTACACCTCATCCCGGCTCCCATCTCAAGCCCCACCCAGGCCCTGCCTGTGCCTGGTATGTGTGTGTGTGTCTGTGCATGCATGTGCCTGTGTGTATGGTGGGCAGGGGCGCCGGATGGGAGCCCAGGGGGGCTCTGTTCCTTTCCTGGGGGCGGTGCTCTGGGGGTGAGGGGGAGGCTGCCATGGACAGAGGGGGCTTTGTTCCCAAGGCGGCTTGGCCCTGACAAAGAGCCATCTGTTTCTGAGGGATGTGCCCCCAGCCTGCCAGAACAGGGCCCTCTCCATCCCAGGAGGCTTGGCCTCAGCCCTCCCCCCGGCAGCCACAGGCAGCCTCAGCCTGCCTCCCCTGCCATGGTCCCCACTTCCCAGGCCAGTCGAACCCGACCCGCTCACTGCTGGGCAGGCGAAGGGGCCTGTTGGCCACCTCCTGCTGCCAGCCAGCTCAGCCTGAGGCCACTTCCAGTCCCTGGGCCCCCTGGGCCCCCCTGCCAGAACATTCTCTCATTGGCTTTTCCTGTCTCCCTGGGGATGTGCTGGAGTGACAGCTCATACCTGGCGGCACCAGCTGTCTTGGCCAGTCTGGGCCTCTTTTGTCCCTGGGTGAGGACATACCTGTGCCGCCTCTGCACTGGCTTCAGGAGCAGCGGCCAGCCCAGGCAGTGGCCAGCAGGGTCTCCCTTTCAGGAGCACATCCCTGACCCTGTCCTCATAGGGCGGCCCCCAGAGAGCCCCAGGGCCTGTGCCCAGACTTCCCAGCCTGGAGCCCCTTCCTCCAAACCCTGGGCTCCCCTCAGCTCCTCTAGGGGCTCATCCCCCGCTGCTGTGCCCTCAGCTATGCTCCTGACCGCCGACAGGACCCTTCTTACCTGGAAACAAGTCCACTTAACACTCCTTGCCTTCTGTGGACTGCCATCGACCCGACACCCACCGGCCCTTGGGAATTTGATTTTCAGAAACCCAAATGCAAACTCAACGTTACGGAGCTGTCACTCCTCAAACTGGTCTGTAGATTCAATACAGTCACAGGCAGAATCCCAAGTGTGTGTGTGTGTGTCTGTGGGACCTTAGCTGCTGATTCCCAAATGTGCGAGGTGGAACAGGCCCGGAGAGGCCAAGCCTGTGGGAAGTAGGGTGCACCTGTGGTGGCCCCATGGCGCAGGCTCATTCTAAGGCTTCAGTGATGAGGGAGCAGGGCATTTGGCTCCTCCTGGTGCCGTAACAACTCAGCACACAGTGGCTGAGAGCCACACAGATGTGTGTTCTGGGGTCCCACACCGTCTCGCCAGCTGAAATCAGCTGTGGGCATGGCCCTCAGTCCTCACAGCCTGCCGTCTCTGACGCTCCCCTGCCTCTCCTCCTCCTAGGGGCCCCCTGGCCCGGGCAGCAACCTCAGTCCCCTTCTGCACGTGACCCCAGACCCACGGGACAGATGAGGGCCAGTGTGCACACTGGAGCCCGGCCGGGGCCATCCTGGGGCAGTGTCCGTGCAAGGACAATGTGTAGGTCCCATGGGCTTCCCCACTGAGACACCAAGACAGACTTAACTCGCAGGAGTTAAGGACACCACGCTGCATTAAGAGACAAAGATAAACTAGGCCCCATCAAAACTGGAAACCGCTGTTTATTAAAAGACCATGAAGAACGTGAGAAGACAAGCCAGAATGAGAGATTGATCTGCAGTATCTGTAACCCATAAAGAGTTGGTTTAACGGAGAAAACTGAACTATCAATAGTTGTGAAAAACTGGAGAGATGATGAGCAGAACCCAAGGGCGGGCGTGGCAGAGAAGAGGAAACAGGAAGTCAGATAAATCAGTCAAGCGCTGGCCTTCCCAGAACCAGGGACGTGCAGGACGCTTGAGATGGCATAGGAGCCCGCAGGGGGGGCGGTTGGGGGGCACCCTGAGAAGCCGGACGTCTGCGGTTGCTGAGGGGCTTGTGCTCGCCAGGGGCGGGTGGATTTGAACCGCCGCCTTGGGAAGCACTTGTGGGGAGAGCAAACACGGTAAAGGACTGTGTGCATAACGGGTGGGTGCCTGTGGACGTGCGAGGTCAGGGGTGGAAGTGACGGAGAGGGTGGTGGTTAAAAGAGGCGTGCTGGAGGGAAATCAGAACAGAGGCCTGAGGAGGGGGAGGGGGATGCTGAGTGTCCCACCCGGGAGGGTGGTCCGGGCAGAGGAAACAGGGTGCTTGTTGGTGGGCTGTGTGGAGTGAGCTCAGAGAGGAGGTTGTGGAGGGGCAGGGCCGCAGAGTCTGGTGGTCTCTGGTTAGGACTTTGGGCTTCTCCTGAGCAGGGTGGGGACAACTACCCATGACCAGGGTCTGATCTTCATTCTGAAAGGCCCCTTCTGCCACTGAGTGGAGAGGTTCTGGGGTTTAGCAGGAAGGCGGGTGAGGGGTGAGGGGTGCCAGGCTGGGCCAGGTGGATTCTGGTAGCTTTGGGGTCTGGGATCTGTAGTTGTCTTGGTTGTGGGGTGTGTGAGCTGGCGGCTTCGAGGTTTTTTTTCTTCTGGTTTGCCTATACTCTTTATTTACAATTCCCAAGATTTTTTTCCCAAGATTTTTTTTCCTCCCCTTTTAGGGACAGTTTCTTTTGTGTGGTAAAAAACACATAACATTAAATTTACCATCTTAAACATTTATATTTATATTTATATTTATTTATTTATTTTTGTGAGGAAGATTAGCCCTGAGCTAACATCTGTTGCCAATCCTCCTGTTTTTGCTGAGGAAGACTGGCCGTGGGCTAACATCCACGCCCATCTTCCTCCACTTTATTTATTTATTTATTTATTTTGTTTTTGTTTTTTTATTTTTTATTTATTTATTTTTTCCCCCCAAAGCCCCAGTAGATAGTTGTATGTCACAGCTGCACATCCTTCTAGTTGCTGTATGTGGGACGCGGCCTCAGCATGGCTGGAGAAGTGGTGTGTCAGCGCGCACCCGGGATCTTGAACCCGGGCCACCAGCAGCAGAGCATGCGCACTTAACCGCTAAGCCATGGGGCCAGCCCCTGCCTCTTAGTTTTTGCAATTAATGTTTGAAGACATGCTTCCCTTTCCTAGAGCATATTTTCCTAGATTTCTTCCTATGAGTTTTTTTCTTGCACATTTAGGTCTTCACTCCATCCAGGGTCCCCCTCTGTAGGTGGTGTTATGTAGGAATCCAGGTTTTCTCTGTGCAATGAGCCAGTTTCCAACGCCATCTGTGGACAAACATATCTTCCCTCATTGATCTGTGCTGTGGCTTTCTCCATATCCAGTTCCCTCTGTGAACTGCCCTCCCTTCTGTCTCACTGGTGGCTCCTGCACCAGTACCGTGCCGCTTTTATTACCACGTGTTTCCTCAGGGTTCAACCAGAGGATGGGAGCCAGTAGGGGATCTACATGAAGAGATTATTGCTTGTTTTTCTGGTGTAGGGAGATACTATGATGACCGGAGTTTCATCTTGGCCATCTTGCTAATGCTCAACCAGTCAGCAGCGGTGATGGTGGGCATCCTTATTCTCGGTCTGCAAGGGTAGGCATCTAAAGTTTCTCCCTTAAGTACAATGCTTGCTGTATGTTTTTGGTACATAACTTTTAGAAAGTTTTCTTTCACTCTGATTTTCCTAAGAGCTTTTTCAGAATCATAAATATCAGATGCTTTGTCTTCATTAGTCAAGACAAACATATCATTTTCTCCTTTTATCTGTTGTAATGAATTACATTACATTAATTACATCAACACCCTTTCCCCATATTAAACCATCCTTGCATTCCTGTGATAAATCCTATTCGATCATGGTGTTTTAACTTTTTAATATCTGATTGGTTTCGGTTAGCTAAAATTTTATTTAGGACTTTCATATCTATGTTCAAAGTGAAATAGGTCTATAATTTTCTTTCTTCTTATTTCTTTTTTTCTTTATATTTTCCTTATTATGTTTTGGAATCAAGATTACATTGGCCCCATTCCACCCCTGGCAATCTATTTTCTGGAATAACTTGTTAAGGTGGGAATTAACTGTTCCTTGAAAATTTGGTAGAACCGTCTGGACTTTGGAGTTGTTAGGAGGGGAAATTTTTGATTATTATTACAATTTCTTTAACACTTAAATGCTCAAGAACAAATTCTCCATGTTTAAAACCACTTTTGGTATTTTATTTGAAAAATCAAAATAATGGCTTATTTATCCACTTTCCCTGGTAATTCTGTTGCTTGATATACTTTGAGGCTAAATTGTTAGGTATTTATATGTTTATAATAGATACATCATGTTGTTTTATTGCTTCTTCTATGAGTATATAATTTCATTCTTTGTCCTGTATGCTATTTTTCTGCCTTAGAGTATATTTAATCATATATTGAGATGACATTAGAGCTTTCTTTTGGTTCATAATTGTGTGATAAGTGCTTATCTGTCCTGTATTTTTCAACCTTACTATATCTTTTTCAAAAAAAGTCTTTTTTTATACAGCATATTGTTGGTTTATTTTAGTCCAACATAAGAATCTCTAT